CTTCTTCTTCTTCTTCTTCTTCTTCTTCTTCTTCTTCTTCTTCTTCTCCTTCTCCTTCTCCTTCTCCTTCTCCTTCTCCTTCTCCTTCTCCTTCTTTTCCTCCTCCTCCTCCTTCTTCCTCATGTATTTGCTGATATGTAGAAACCGCCATTTCTAAAAAGTGGAAGACAGCTCCCAAAGAATCCTTGCCTTCTTGTTCTCTTTCCTTTAATTTTTCATATTCCATTCTTAATTCATCCACAGATAGTGCCATTGTAAATTTTTTAAAGACAACCCAAATGTTTTTAGTCTTAAAGTAATTTCCAAGTGTCAAAGTTATCAAACAGTCCAAACAAACACAAAGTATTTCCTCTTCTTCTCTTTGCAGTTTTTCCTCCTGGGGCAAAATCCCCAAATATATTCTAAAGCCATATTACAGTTAGTTGCTGGTTTTGTAATCTTCAAGGCGTCTCCTCCAACAAATTTTTAAAGGTTTTTTTAGTCCTCTCCTTCCACTTATAACAAAGAGCTTCTTTTTACCTTAAAGAAGCAGGTTTTTCAGTGCTCATTTGCTTTCTCTGTAGGGAAGGGGAGTAAACTTTCCTTCAGCACTTTCGCCGCTTTAACAACTTCTTTCGGAAACAAATGTATCAATCCGAAAGTCAGCTTTCCAGGGTATTTAAAAGTATCTCAGTGTCCTGGTTCAGCCAAGAAAACTTTCTCCTTCTGATTCTTCCTCCTGCACAGATCTTATCCGGTTGAAGATTCCTTTGTGGCTGCCATTTCTGACAGCGGCTCCACTGCCTCAGGAAAAAGGAGTCTAGCCGGCTGGGGAAAGGGGGTGCGATATCCCCAGACCCCTGCCCGGATCTCCTCTGTCTTCCACTACCTCTTTGGGGTAGCGACAACCCCCCATATCCAATTGGATCGGGGGTACCTCAGCGGCAAGCGCAGCAGGGACCCGCAGCATCGCGGATTTCTGCCGCCGCCGAAGCCTGCAACCGGAAGTTCCCCCAACTTTTTCTCTTTTTGTCCTGCCTACTTTTTACCAAGGCATGATTGAGAGCATTTTAACAAAGGTCAATTTATCCATTTCAGCACAATCTAGAATTTTACAAATTATTAATTTCTCCGAAGGTATATTATTTTCTTTCCAACCTTGTGTGTATACTATCCTTGATGTTGTCAAAAGACCTGTATGTAGTAGCATATATCTAATTTTCTTCCTATACTTTCCGCTTAATTATTCCCAACAGAAACAACTCCGGTTTAAATTCTGTCCGTTCTTCAACTGTTTCTTGTAATTTCATCCAGTATTTTTGGGCATCTGGGGATGATCACCACATATGATAGAAGATGCCATGATTTCGTTTGCATTTCCAGCATGTAGGATTCAACCGATCTTGGTTCTGCTTTTCTTTTTAACCAGATCTCGTCCTCTGCTGGGAGAATCACTGTGCCCCGGCTGAGCGTTGGCGCCGTCACCAGCCGGCCCAGTACACCAACCCTAGGTAATCTGTCCCACCATTATTTTGGGGGGAGGGGAGAGAGAGAGATGGGGAGCTAACTTCTGATAATTTCTGTTTTCAAGGTGTTTCTTTCTTCATTCACTTCCCTTCCTCAAAGTCTCTCTATATGTGGCTATTCCATGGTGCCCCAGCAGCTAGCAGCACCTTGCCAAGCCTGGCTGCTCCCAAAGGTGCTAGCAGGGTTGGATCTTTTAGTACGGGGAGGGGAAACCACCAGGAGACCACCAGTTTTACAGAACAAATATAAAAAGGCTCTCAGAAGAACTGTTCTGACCAAGGCTTCCTGAGACTGCATAAAACATGCATAAAATCCAAAAACCCTTTTATTTTAGTTCAATGGCTGTGAATTATCGTCATTCACATCCTGGAATGAGTGAAAACTGGTTATAATTATTCCCAGGGACATCTTCCAAAGTTCTTCGGGAGACATTTAATAAGAACGCACCTTTATCTGACTTGCTGCCAACAACTAAAGTCCCAATTAGCCTTCCCAAAACCAAACAGAACAAATTCACCACGGAGCTTTCAGAGTCCAAAACAATCAGAGCGAACAACGTTGCTTCCTGCAAAGGTTCCTGTCCCTTTGCACTTCCTTTATACCTTATGGGAGGAGCAATCACCTCCAAGCCTTACTCCCGAGTCTCCCCTTTTGTCTCAGCTGCTCTTGCCTTCTAGCAGCTCTGCACATCCGTGCATTGGGAATAGGCTCCCCTTGTTCCTCTGCCTCGCTGCTGCCAGACTCTGCAGGTTCCAGAATCAGCACATAACTCCCAGATGATCCTGGCCCCATCTCTGTATTGGACGCAGGACCCTCATCCGAGTCTTCCCCAGACCCCCGGACTGGTCCCTGTTCCTCCCCACTGTCTGATTCTGCTACCGTCTGCACGGGCTGCCAGCGAACCACGACAAGAATGTCTGTGGAGATTCTCGGTCATCCAAGTCATGGTTGTCTCAAAAGTGTGTCAGAGTTTGCCACAGTCCCACCAGCACACAAGTAAATAATTTAGCAGGATTCATTTATAGAAGAAACTTATTTATATTAAATTATATATAGTATGGTGCATGTATACAATACCTGCACAGCAAAAATCAGAACCAGAACTCAGAATCCAGAAGTCATAATCACAGAAACTATAATCACACAAGCTAACCAATTCTTATATGTACAGAGCTAATCCACGCCCAGGCCGTGAACCATCTGGCATGGTTCACAACAGACGCTGTTTCTTAGTCACCAAATAGTTCCCATTGGCTGACTTCTTGTTATGGCAGAGGCACAATTTATATAAATCAAGAACATATAATTCCTATTAAATAAATTTCATAATTAATATATCATGCTTATTAATTAAATACAATCTAAATTTAGTAAGTACTCAATATATATTAAACAACATTTAATAAATAACATACTACATTTAATCTAAATTTTATAAATAGTATATCATGCTTATTAAATAAAATTTAAATGTAATAAATAACATGTATTCAGTACGTTTAATAAATACACATTTAAAAAGAAACCTAAATTTCATAGTTTATCATGCTTATTAAATAAATACAATCTAAATTTAATAAATAAAAACAGTGTGTATTCAATACATTTAATAAGTAGCATGCTGCATTTAATAAGAAACCTAAATTTAATAAATGAATGCAATCTAAATTTAATAAATATGAATATATATTCAATACATTTAATAAATAACTACATTTAATAAATCCAAATTTAATAAACAGTCTATCATGTTTATTAAATCTAAATTTAATAACAATATATATTTAATACATTTAATCCATACTATACAAATATATTAAATGTAATAAATGATATATGGTACTAGATCAACAAAGAATGTATATAATAAATACCATCTAAATTTAAATATATATACTATATAAAACAAGCACATAAGCTAGCAAGCTGGATGAGTTGCGGGGGGTGTCTGGGGAGGCCGGAACTTTTCTCAGCCTTATGGAACCTGGAGTCCTGCATTTGCCAGCTGTGGGTGGGTGAGAGGGGCCGTCTTCTTTCTAGGGCTCCGGACGAGATCTCCCCTTCTTGGCTGCCCTTCCAGTCAGACTTGCCTGGCCTCGAACTCTCAACCTCTTGTTTCCATTTGCAGGGCCCCCTTCGGCACAGGCGGTGTCGGTTTCTACCAAAGTCGGGACTCCCGTCTCGCTGACGGGACAGAGGTTCACCGTCCAGATCCCAACCTCTCAAACATCTGTAAAATCAGGTGAGAAGGTTTGAGCGTGATTTTTTTAGTGTGTGTATGTGTGTATGAGAGAGAGAGAGAAAGAGAGAAAAGAAGGGAGAAGGAGCCAGGGTGAACCCCCTCTCCAGAGAGATTGAAAAGGCCGTACCATTTCTGTCTTCCTTTGGTGCTGCTGGAGAGAAAAATGTAGAAAATGGCTGGCCTTAAGAGTATTTCCATTTCTTACGGAGTTCTTTTAATACCATGTTTCCCCCCAAAATAAGGCCCTGTCTAATTTATTTATTTTTTTGCCACCAAAAAAGGCACCAGGTCTTATTTTCGGGGGATGTCCTCCACTGACTAACTTCACTTTCATGCATTACCTCCAGCCTCCTTTTCTCTGTCAGAGGCCTTCAGGAGCTACTTCTGTGGCCAGCAAGGCTTTCCCGAAGGCCTCTGCAGCTGATAACAGTTCTGGATCGATCCAGAGCTTTGTCATCAGCTCCAGAGCCCTTCCGGAAAGCCTTGCTGGCTGCAGAAGAAATGGTCTGGCAAGGCAGGTGTCGGGGGGTGGGGTAGGTATGAGGCCTGGCTACAACTGTCCAAAGGTAAGTAGGAGGGCAGCTCCATCCCCACCCTAGCTTAATTTTTACCTGTCCACTCTGGAGTGGGCGGGATCTTAATTAGGGCTTATTTTGGGGAGGTAGGGCTTGGGAGACAATGTAAAAATCAAGCTAGGACTTATTTTCAGGGTAGCTTGCATTTTGGGGGAAACGGTAGCAATTTTAATTGAATGGACTTGGAGCCCATTTAAGAGGGCTGGACATTTTTGGCCTTATTTTATCCAGGAAAGAAAGTGGATGGAAATGTTTTGGGAAGAGTACCACATCTTAGGAGGTTAAGGCACAGGAACCTGGTAATCAAGGAACTAAGGAAAAAGAGAGGGGTTCAAATCAGCTCTTGCTCACACTGAACCCCAAAATATAGCTGTGTTTTAAATCCAGGTACTTAGGCTGTGAGGGCCGATCAGGGTTTTTGGTGCCCTGGTTTTTTCAACTTTGGCAGCTTGAAGAGGAGTGGACTTCAACTCCCAGAATTCGCCAGCCAGCTATTTTTGTCAGTTTGCGGAAGATATATTATGTTGACCACATTCCCACTGTCTATTATAGAAAGTTAATAAAGTTAACCCAGGAATCTCCAAACTTAGCAACTTGAAGACTTGTGGACTTCCATTCCCAGAATTCCTGAGACAGCTATGCTGACTGGGGAATTGTGGGAGCTGAAATCCATAAGTCTTAAAGTGGCCAAGTTTGGAGATGCCTGAGTTAATCTCTTTCCAAGCTGCCAAAGTTTAGAAACATGGATTTGGTATGTTGTACAATTCCTGAAGAAAATGGTTTAGCTCCGCCTGCCATGATCCATGATCCATGTGTCATTTGTTATTTAAGAGCGTCCTCAACATACAACTGCAATATCACCTGCCCATTACTGTTGGATGTCATCACGGATGTAAAACGAACTGGTTGTATACAACCAACCCAATATTACGACCTTTTTGGACGGCACTCCTTAAGTGAACATGATGGTTGTGAAGTGGCTGTTGCGGTCCTTAAGTGAACTAGTGGTTTGATACGGACATGGCTTTGCTGAAAATGGGAAGTCAGGGTCGTCATAGAATGAGGTCCTGCGATCCTTGGACCGTGCAAACAGCCGCGAATGGCATCCATCTTGCTGAGGGTGGCCAAAATTCGATCGAATGATCACGGGATTGAATCCGGGCCACGAGCCCCCCTTTTACTGGCTGATTGTCGCTTTGAACCGTCGCTAAGCAAACGGCTGTACGTCAAGGATCTACCTAGATCTTGCGTGAGTGGTTGATGCTTGCTCTCTCTCTTCTTCCCCCCAGCTACCCCTACCACTCCCACCGTCCAGAACGTCCTGATCAACCCCTCACTGATCGGCTCCAAGAACATCCTTATCGCCACCAACATGGTCTCCTCGCAAAGCGTCGCAGGCGAACCCAACATCTTGAAGCGGAAACACGAGGAAGAGGAGGACTATGACGCCTTATGAGTTCCACGGAGCTCAGCCCCACTCCCCTTCTCCCCATTGCTCCTTCCATCTTGTGCCTGGTCTGGCACCAGAGGCATTTTCAGGCTGAACACCCCAAACTTAAAATGGGTTGGCTCCTTTCTCACCTGGCCTCTGTGCCCCCTCCTTTCTCATTTCCCCCCTCCCCCCAATTAACTCATTCTTTGGGGTCCCTGAGCTGTTTGCAGGCAGCAGAGTTATGGGGAGGGGGTGTGAGTTGTGGGGGTCTCTTGAAGGAGGAACTTGAGCCATCCAGCCCCTCCCCCCCCTTGTTAAAAGACACTGTTGTGCAGTGATTACAAGTAGGCAGAAAAATATACATGTATTTGTCTCAATTTAGCTTGGAAGGGAAGGAAATTTGAGTCGGGGGCTGTTGGGTTCACGCAATTGTGTTTCTTTGTCTTTTGAGGTCCCCCTCAAGTTGTGTGGAAAACCCACTTATCTCCAGTGTTGTTTGTTGGTTTAAGTCGGGGATCGGCAACCTTAAACACTCTAAGAGCAACAAAGCCGCTGCCCCCCCCACCGTTCAATTCTGGAGCCGACCGGAAGTCCACTTCCACCACCATAGAGTCTCCTAGCCCGGCATCCTTTTTCCTCTACCTGTCCTGACAGAAAGCCCTATCAAATACCGGCAACAGGGAGCCGCAGCAGAGGAGATGAAAGAGCCACATGCGGCTCCGGAGCCACAGGTTGCCAACCCCTGGTTTAAGATCTCTGGATAAAACTGGGATGAGAAAGGAAAGGAACTCATATTTTTCTCCTGGTTTTTCGCTTGGTTTTTCCGAAGGGAACAATCACAACCTGGGTGTGTGGCATGACACAATTTGCAAAGTTTTGTTCTGCTTGCACTGGAGGGGTGGGGGGGAAACAGACACAGCGTTTTTGGTGCAGAATTGTCAACTCACGTCACCATTCTTTCTGGTTTTAAAGGTCCGACCGGAGAATGCATCCCTCTGCTCCCCATTATTTTTTAGGCCACTGCCATAAAAAGTACAATTTCTATTTCTTTTGAGAGCTGCATTATAAACAAATTAAAATTAATAAATTAATAGTAAAAGAATTTCCACACCCCTGATGAATAATGAAAGATGAAATGTTTGGTGAAGTAAGAGGGCAGAGGCTGGTTCCTTGTGGGTTTAAGGCTGGATTAAGGATTTGCTCCCAATTAAATAGGAGTCTTGAGTCACCCTTGACCCTGGTTTCCCCTCACCCCCTAGTTGTATCATAAATCGTATGCTCCAATAAGATACTTCCATAGCCCAGAGTTATCAATCTTCAGTGACCTAGTTACTATCTTTGAAGACATTAATGGAATGCACTTTCGGTTTTGCAAGCTGCTGCACTGCTCCCCCCCTCCCTTTCTGTAGGCAATTCTAAAAACGCCATAGAAATATTTTATTAATTGACACCATGTTGCTTGCTTAACAACTGCAGCGACTCGCTTAACAACCATGGCCAGGAAAGGTGGTAAAATGGGGCAAAATTCACTTGACAAATGACTCACCTAGCGACATTTTAGGCTCAATGGTGGTCATATTTCAAGGACTGCCTGTATTTAACCCATCAATCCTGCGTGACCACTTTGGCCTCAACTACAGGTAGCCCTCAACGGAGCATGGTCACCTGAATGGTAAATCTGGCTGTCATAAACTGAGTGATTGACCCGATTTGATAAAGTCTTTTTGCTGCAAGTTGCTAAGCAAATGCTGCGGTCATTAAGCAAACCGATGGGTCAGTTTGGCAGAAAAAAAAAAATCAGAAGTTAGACTCCGGTTTTCAGCGAAACCCTCATAAAAGGCAGCCCAGCGCATCCTGTCAATCCCAGGGACACCGCAAAGTCCCTGGTAGATCCAGGAGAAGCCCTTTTCGCCAGCAGCGGAGAGGCAGCCTCCCAAGCCGCTGAAGTTGGGACAGCTCCGGAAAGGAAGATACCGGGAAGAAAGTGTCCATTTGGTGAGATCAATTTTTACTTATTATTTTTTTGGAGGAACATTAGAGAAGAAAAAGAAATAAAAGGAACAAAAATTAAAAAGGAAGAGTATAAATTGCAAGCCTTTGCAGATGACCTGGTATTTATACTAGAGGATCCATTGTAAACAGCACCTAAATGAATAGAAAGAATGGAAGAATATGGAAAAGTAGCAGGTTTAAAAATAAATAAAGCTAAAACAAAGATATTAACAAAGAACATATTAGCAAGACGAAAGAAAGAGCAAGTCTTGGAAATCCAGATCATAAACAAGGTTAAGTATTTAGGGGTATACAGAACAGCAAGATGCAGCACACTGAAGGAGGATAACCATCTTAAACTACAGATTGTGACATTTGATAAAACGGGAAAACTTGCAATTATCATTGATTGGGATAATATCTACAATTAAGATGAATGTACTGCCTAGAATTTTATATTTATTCCAGAAAATTCCAATTAGATTAGGGAAAGTTTTTTTTTTGAAGATCTAAACAAACTAATGTTAAAATACATTTGGCAGGGAAAGAAAGCAAGAATAAAACTCAAACTGTTACAAGATGCAAGAATAAGAGGGTTCGCCTTGCCCAATTGGGAATTATATTATCAGGCGACAAACTTGATGTAAGTAAAGGAATGGATAACAGTAAGGAACAGCAGATTATTAACCCTAGAAGGACATGACTTGCTGTTGGGATGGCATGCTTTTCTTTGGTATAAGGGAACTAAAACACGGGTATTTTAGAAGACATTATATTTGAGAGGCATTGTTTTTAAACTGGAGGAAGATAAAAAAGCAATATTATTTAAAAATTTCATTATGGGTATCTATTATTGAAGCTTTTTTTATCCAGTAACATATAAAAAGGAACAAACAGATATACTGAATGAAAAGGGTGAACTTAAATCTAAGCAAGCTTTGGAAGAACAAGGTATAAAAATGAATTGGTTTTCATATGCACAAATACAATCCAGATTTGATAAAGATTTTAAAACAAGTTTTTTTTATGATAAGTTGACTGATTTAGATAACATTTTGATGGGTACTGATGAAAAGGTAATTAAAAACTATGGACATTTATTAGAATTTAAATTAGAGGAAACGATGATTGCTTGGGGGAAAAATTTGGGGTATGGGATTGACTTAGAGAAATGGCAAAAATTGTGGTCTCAAAATTATAAAATGACAATGTTAACCGCTTATAAAGAAAATTTGTATAAGATGTTTTACAGGTGGCATCTACCCCTGACGAGAATTGCCAGAATGTTTAAGAACAAATTGGATAAACGTTGGAAATGTCATCAGATACCTGTTTCATATTACAATATGTGGTGGACATATTCGGAAGCGAAAGATATTGGACTAAAATCCACACATGGTTGGAAAAAATGATAAAACAACATATAGACTTTAAACCACAGATATTTTTATTGGGAATTATACCAGAAATATACAACAAAGAACTGAAATATTTGATTGTAAATGTGGTAACAGCGGCTAGAATTGTATTTGGTAAAAATTGGAAAAATGATAAAATACCTATGCAGGAGGAAGTTATTAAGAAAATTATGACTGTGCTGAAATGAGTAAATTGACATTTGAAATTAAAGAACAAGACAAACAATTTTATATGATATGGGATTTATTTTACCAATGGTGAGATAAAAACACATGGCAATGAAATAGACTAAGTTTTGTAATAGAAGATTAATAGATTAATATAGAATATAATGTAAAATATATAACCATTGGATGAATGTGTAACATAAATTTATAATAAAATTTAGAATATCTCGTATAAAATGACAATAGTTTACCAAACCCAAATCTCACAACCATTCTTCATATATTTTAGTCTCCAGGCCTTGAAATCACCTTAGTTGCTCTTCTCTGCACCTTTTCCCCCCCAAAGTCTCAACGTCTTTTTTGTAGTGTGGTGACCAAAATTGGTTGCAGGATTCCAGGTGTGGAATAAAAGAAAAGGGAATCTGATTTTCCCCATGGACTTTGCTGGTCCAAAGGTCGCGAAAGGGGATCCCGTGACTGCTGCGACCATCATAAATATGAGTCACTTGCCAGGTGTCTTGAATTTGGATCACGTGACCATGGGGAATGGCGCAACGATTATTGAAATCGGTCATCAAGTTGCTTTTTTTCAGTGCCATTGTAAACTTCGAATGATCACAAAACAAACGGTTGGAATTTGAGGACTATCTGAATATCAAATGATTGGAATGGCTACCCAGATGATGAGGGGAGTGGAGGCTCAAACACACGATGGACGGTTGCAGGAACTGGGCCTGACTAGTCTAGGGAAGAGAAGGACCAGGGGAGACAGGAGAACAGCCTTCCAATATTTGGGGGGCTGCCACAGGGAGGAGGGAGTCAAGCTATTTTCCAAGGCCAGACAAGGAATAATGGATGGAAACCGATCCGGGAGAGATTCAACCTGGAAATAAGCAGGAATTTTCTTACAGGGAGAACAATCAACCGATGGAACAGAAGTTGCTTTCAGAAGTTGTGGGGGCTTCATCACTGGAGGCTTTCAAGAAGAGACTGGACTGCCATCTGTCAGAAATGGTGGAGGGTCCCCCGCTTGGGCAGGGGTTGGACTAAATGACCTACAAGGTCCCTTCCAACTCTGTTCGTCTTGTAATATTTCAAAACCAGTCGCTCATGAGTGGCCCTTTTGCAGTGATACTGCTTTCAAAGATTACCTTATGTCCGGCCAGAACTTGAAAATAACATTTAAAGTAGCACAGTATTTAAACAAAATGATTCGGTTGAGATCGGCATATGTGGGATTGATTGGGGTAGATTGCAAGGGCGACTCCGAAATATGTTACTGTATTTTATCTATATCTTAAATTATTGTACAGTATTACAATTTTATTTTGGATTGTATTTTATTACATCTTAAACTGTATTTTATCAAGTTCCATTTTAAGTAGTATTTTATCAAATTTCATTTTGAATTGCTTTTATTAAATTTTAGTAACAAAATTCTTGCTGAACTTTGCACTTTGATATGGCCCAAGGGCTAATCAATACTTATGCGTTTATGTTTTCAGAGAATTGCTTCCCCCTTCTGCTCAAAACCATTTTATTTTCTTCCTTCTGTGCACCATGGAATGCCTGAGGAGCGTTATGAAACATCCCCAGGAAAAGTTTTCATCGCTAGATTTTCATTCTGGAACATTGGAAAAAAAGTGCTGTTTTTTAAAAGGAGGCAAGTTGGCAATGTGGGGTCCTTGGTGGTCTCTAAGCTGCATGGTTTTCTTGCAGGCGTTTCGTTACCCAACTAGGTAACATCAGTGCACTGATCAGGCGTTGATGATGTTACCTAGTTGGGTAATGAAATGCCTGCAAGAAAGCCACCAATCTCAGAGAGCATCCGGGGACCTGCAGTCCAACTCCAAAGTTTACAAATGTTCTATTATCCAATTATTCCTTGACTGACAAGTTTATTTAGTGACCGAAGTGACATGTCACAAAAAAAAAAAAAAAGTGACATGAAGACCGTTGAAGCGTCCACAGGGTCACTTGATCAAAAGTTGGGTGTTTGACAACGGATTTGTTGTGGTTCACCAGCAGCCGGTGCATATGGCAGCCGAATCAGACAGCGAGGGAAAAAGGAGACCAGTCAGGGATTCTGGTGAGGACTCAGGTGAGGGTCCTGCGTCCGATGCAGAGATGGGGCCAGGGCCATCTGGGAGTGGGGTGCTGACTCCGGAGCCTGGCAGCAGCGAGGCAGAGGAACAAGGGGAGCCTGTTCCCAGTGTGTGTATGCACAGAGCTGCTAGAAGGCGAGAGCTGAAACAAAAGGGGCGACTCGGGAATAAGGCTGGGAGGTGATGGCTCCTCCCACAAGGGATAAAAGTCAGACCTCAACGATGACGCCTCTGCAGGAAGCAAAGTAGTTCGGTAGATTCTGAGTCTTCCTTGAAGCTCTGGTTGTTTTTTTCTAGTACTTCGGTTGGTTTCTGTTATAATTGGAAACTTCTTTTTGGGCAGCATTCCACAGCAATGAAAGGCATTTGCTTATCTTGGGGAACTGCTTACAATTAGTTCTGGCTGGGAATGCAAGCAATTCCCAGCATTGCAATAAAATAGGTTTTGCTTTTTTAAAAAAAGTTTGTGATTAATTACGTCTGACGACGCCTGGGTCAGAACAGGATTCATATTTAGGACGGTTGCAGTGGTGTCCCTTTTTTGCAACCTTCTGACAAGCACAATCAACAGGGAAGTCAGATTTACTTAAAAAATTACGTTACTAATTGCAATGCTTAGCAACTGTGCCAAGAAAGGGCATAAAATGGGGGGAATTCCCTTGTCTTGCTTTAGCGACAGAAATTTTTAAAGCTCAATTGTGGCCGTAAGTTAAGGAGCACCTGTCCTTAGCAATGGCCAGTGTAGCATGTTTGAGAGGTAGAAAAGAGGTGTGGGGTTACTCAGGAGCACATGCTTCTTGGTAGAATAGTACAGTATATACATCTTCATTTAACTACCCCAACACCCCCTGCAAGGGTGAAGTCTGGGCAATTGAATGGAGCGGAGTATTTCAATGGCCGGATGCCTTTCCTGTCACTGATGCGGAGTTATATTCAGCAGATAAAATTCCCATCGTGCCCAGAGAGAGAGAGAAATATCTATCTCAACCTAGGATCAAACTCACAGCCTCCCAACTGTGAGGCAAGATCTCTACCTCTAGGCCGCCGCACCCTTCATACATCAGTCACAGTGCAATAGGAATATTTTTTATTAAAGATGAAAACTTATCCAAACCGGGGGGGACTGGGGGACGCGATAACAAAAACCAAACCCAAGGAAGAGAAGTCAACATGGCAACGCATCTTTGAAGTGGGGAGCTTAGGATTTTTTTGTTCTTTCTAAGGCTGAATTGCAAGATTCAACTCCAGAAACGTCAGTTGCTCCGTGGATTTGCAGGGATGGAGTGTTTTCTGGCTGTCCTCCTTTGGATGGATCAAAGGCCAAACTCAGGAAGGGAAGCCAGCTGTTCTCCAGGTGAATCCTCCGTTGAGGTAAGGATCTACACCCCTCCCTCCCATTAACGCCTTAATGAAAAAGGACAGAAGCACGGTGTAATTAACTTCTCTAAAAACCAATTATCAGCTTTCCTGAGTTGGAAGAACAAGTAGAACAGGGGAGGCGAAGGAGGATTCTTGCTTTGAAGAACAGAACCGGAATCGCCCTTTTAAAAAGCAACAGATGTTCGCGTCAGGCTGTGCACCCAGAGCCTGCCTCACAGGCCTCCACGGTCCCAAAAGAATTTGGAAACTAAACAGGTGATCTGCACACCTAAGGGTAAAAAAAAAAAAGGAGGGAAAAAAACGCAATTCCACGGGGACACCCAGCATCAATCTCTCCTTCTGGATCAGGGATGAGTTAAACTCAAGTCTGAGCACCCCGATCTTTTGGTCCGCAGGAAGAAGCTCAAGGGAACCTTGAGCTCTTGGTAGAACTTCCACAACGCACCTGATCAGAAAGGAACTTATTTTCTGCTCTCTGCCCCGCACCCACCCCCCAAAAAAACCTATTTAGGATTTTCAGAGGGTTTTTTTTTTTTAAAAAAAGTATGTAGAATAAAAGAGCGTGCTTCACAATAAAGCGCGTAATTACAAAAAGAAACGAAAAATCGGAATCGGCTGGGTGACAGGCAAGGCGATCGTCGGGAAGGGAACGCCTAGTGAACCGTTCGCTCCTTCTGCCTGTGGTAATCTGGAAGGGAAGAGGGAGAAATGAAGGCTGGAGTCTCAGAAAAGCCCGTTTTGAGTTAAAATGAAAAACCCAATAACTTGCTTTGGGTGGGCGGAAGTCGGTGTGAATTCCACAAGATGTGGATGAAGACAAAACCTCTTTTGGGTGATTGCTACCAGGGACTGGCATTTCACAGTTCCCACATCCCAGCCTGGCAGAGAACCTCTTCTGACAAGTTCCCCAAAACAATCCTCAAAGATGCTAGTCCTCAAAACCTTCACAGAGATATGAATCTCCAACGGATTCCTGTTTCCTTACTGGGCCTCAGGAAGCCTCAGTTTCTCTTCTTGTGAAAAGGGGAATATTCCCAGTTAGAAAAGATGTGAGCCTGTGAACCCACACAGGACATTTTACGTAGGTAAAACTTACGTAGGTACCATTTCCCTGAAAATATGACCCAACTGGAAAATAAGCCCTAACATTTTTTTTCAGGAAGTTCGTAATATAAGCCCTACCCCCCAAATAAGCCCCAATGCTAGCATTTCTGCAAACCTCCATTCCAATCAGTAACTCAAGTGACAAACATATCTCAAAAGTACCTTTATTAGAGTAGCACCTGGCACTTCTATGGAATCTCGAATCTAAAAGGTTTCGGGCTTCCCACAATTTCCCAAGCTAAAAATCCCCCCCTTGGCCATCATCCCATCACATGGCCCAATCACGACCTGTCCAAAAGAAAGGTTATTTCATCCCGCGCCATACTTAATGATTTTGAACTAACAAAGTAATTTTGTCTACTTTGAGCTACTTCATTGAAATCACTCCCCTCTCTTTTCCTCAGGCTATGTGGCAGCAAGGAATAGGGCTTTCAAAGCTGCCACCCAGTTAAGATTGTCAGCCAAACGGATGCATTTAGAACCGTATTTCCCTTGAAAATAAGACCCAACTGGAAAATAAGCCCTAGCATGATTTTTCAGGATGCTTGTAATATAAGCCCTACCCCGAAAATAAGCCCCAATTAAGACTGTCAGTCAGACGGACACATTTAGGCCCATGTTTTCCCCAAAATAAGACCTAACCAGAAAATAAGCCCTAATGCGTCTTTTGTAGCAAAAATTAATATAAGACCTGGTCTTAATTTTGAGGGAAACATGATATGTATATTTGACTTCTAAAGCTGCCTTATCTGTGGGTGGCTCATAATTTGAAAAAATATATCTCAGATAAAATCTTTTTTTTTAAAAAAAAATAATAAACATTGAAACAAATCATTTAAAAAGTTTTCTCCATACAACAGTAACAACAATACTTACTGTAAGGAAAGAAGCGGACTCTCATAATGATCTCCCGAGCAGTTTTCAAGATCTCTACAGCCTGGGAAATTGAGAGAGAGAGACAGAATGCTGAATCTTTAAGAGCAGCAAATATATTGGTCTGGTGACTGAGGCAGCAGGTTAGGAACTGGGGAGACCATGGGTTCAAATCCGGCCTTAGCCACGAAAGACAGCTAGGTGACTATGGGCCGGTCCCTCCCTCTCAGCCCAAATCGCCTCACAGGGTTGTTGTTGTGGGGAAAATAGGAGGAAGGAGTAATAAAAATTACTAAAAATAATAAAAGGAGGACATAAATAAATATAGCTGTCGTGTTGTATATGTTCTGTTTCCTTCAGTGGCCCTTAAAGGATGCAAAACAATCTCCCATCCATACATTGAGTAACTGTGTTGTGGCCTGTCAGCTGCCAGCCTCCATCAGCCGAATCAGAGGAGGAGGAGGAGGAGGCGTGGGAGTCGGGGCCAGCACCAGGGCAACCTGGGAGCTCTGAGGGGGAAGAAGGAATGGAGCTGGCAGAGAGAGAGAGAGAGAGAAAGAGACACATGCGGAGGAGCCTGGGCCATCCGTCAGCCCTCAGATGGAGAGTCAACAACCCCCAGGTCTAGAACTGGCTGATGAGGAAGAGGAGGAACAGCTGGGTCCAGTGCCTGACGCACGAATGGTCAGAAGGCAGAAGAGAGGAGAGCAGTAGAAATCTATGGGCCGTCCTCGTGACGGAAGAGCCATTGCTGCTAGCGGAGCCCCACCCCAGCTCTGGGGATAAAAGGAAGAGGGCGGAGATGAACAAGTGTGACAGACAACTATTCATCTCCTTGCCAGGTAGACTTGTCAGTCCAAAGTAAAAAAGAAACTTTTTGACGGGGTTGCTGGTGCTCTTAATAAAGGAACCTACAAAAAGGCAACACAATGAACTCCCTAATCTCTAATGTTCGGGAACTCTTTGGGTTGGAGGCCCAAAGGACCACCCCACTCGTTCAAACAGCAAAGCTCTTCCCGCCAAGGTGAATGCACCTCTCACCTTGCTGTGTTCAATATCTTGGAAGTCCACATCGTTCACTGCCAGGACCTGATCGCCCTCCTGCAATCCGGCTCGATGAGCGTCAGAATCCGGGATCACCTAACCCAGGAGAAATGAGAGATTGCCCCCCAATGCAGAGAATTGTGAAAAGCGCCTTTTCCCTAACTGGGGACAATCCAAATAGAGAGTAGATTTTACAGTTCAGAGTCCGGGGGAGGGGCGGGTGCACAAGGCCAGGGAGGGGGAGACCAGCGCACTGTATTGTTCCCTTTGCCCAGGAATGTATCTAGATAAAGGTTTGTAATATTTTAGGATTTTACATTTCATATTTTGTTATTTTTCTCTCGTGTGTTTTTATCCAAATTTAACGTGAACATGCCATACGATAAATAAATAATGCCCAGGAAGAATTGGAAGAATTGGGAAAAAATGATTCGGATGAAGGCAAAATAATGGAAAGGAGGATTGAAAAGACCAAAATGACATCCCGCCTCTCATTTTAAAACCTGAAATACTTGGGAATCTGCTAAAGAAATTATATATATTCCAATCTATTCCGTTTCCGTTCCTAATAAATTATATCCTATGGTGCAATTTAAATTTTTGTTTTGAAGGAAGCCGCACAAAACTAAGTGGCCTTTTCTTCTTTGTAAACGAACAAGGAAAAAAAAAGCCTTGACAGGTGCTATCCTAGAAGAACGGTCCTCATTAGTCTACTTCCGCATTGCAGCTTTTTCAAACAGAAATGGGATGATCAGGATTATTTAGTTTAATTTAGTTTAGCTTATTGTCATTGCACCTCGTACAACAAAATCAAACAGCAACTTCAGTGCACATCATGACCGTGAAAATAAATACACACATCCTTCACCCTCCACACATTGAACCGAAAACCCCCGACACTGCACCAACACTGCACTACACAGCAGAATTCAAAAGAGCTACTGCCCTGGGATAGAAGCTGTTTTTCAGCCTATTTGTCCTTGTTTTTATTATTCTGTACAGTCTGCCAGATGGTAATAGTTCAAAAAATGGGTGCCCAGGAGGAGATGGGAATGTTTTGAACTTTCTTAAGGCAACAGGAGCTATAAAGCTCTTCCAAAGAGGGGAGAGGGCAACCTATGATCTTCTGGGCAATGACATTAACCCTCTGGAGTGCTTCCCTATCTGCCCCTGTGCAAGTGACAAACCATACAGAGGTGCAGTAAGTTAAGATACTCTCTATGGTGCAGCGGTAGAAGGTCACCAGCAGTTTCTCATTCAGTTGTTGTTTTTTGAGAAGCCTCAGGTAGTCTAATCTCTGCTGGGCCCTTTTGACCCGGGCTGCAATGTGAGCACCCCCAGGTCAGGTCCTCTTTTAGGGTAACACCCAGAAACTTAAAACTGGCCACTTGCTCCCCTCGGTCTCCATTGATAAGGAAGGGCTGGATGTCTGGTCTGTTCCTTCTATAGTCCACTATCAGCTCCTTGGTCTTATTGGTGTTGAGGACCAAGTCATTGTCTCCACACCACGAAAGCAACCGGTCCACCTCATTTCGGTAGGCAGACTCATCCCCGGTTGTCCCACCACTGTTGTATCATCTGCAAATTTAGCAATAGTATTACTAGCGTGAGTGGGAATGCAGTCATGCCCCTAAAGAGTATAGAGTAAGGGACTCGACACGCAACCCTGTGGTGTACCAGTGTTAAGAATAAGGGCTGAAGAGGTATGATTACCTAATCTGACCCTCTGTCCGCTTGGCCAGACAGGAAACCCATAATCCAAAGGCAGATTTAATGAGGAAGTCCAAGGTCCAGATTATGACAGAAATGGGGTAATGATCAGGGAGTATGACCTTGGTGGCTGGCTAGAGCGGACAAAGGATTCAAGCCAGAGTCTGCAACCAACACAGGATTGAAAATCCCAATTCATGCACTTCTTAAAGGAGGAAGGAATTTTGGTTAAGGTGAGACGAAAGAAAAATGTACCTTTGAGATGAAAATACCCAACTGAGAAGCTTTTCCTCCTCGGATGTTAAAGCCCAGCTAAGAAGGAAGAACGGAAAGAGTTGGCATAAAATGTAATTGCTGCTTTCAAGTCCTGTGAATTTGCTGCTCAACACGGATCTCCTAGGCCACATTTCAACCCTGATAGTATAGGTTTTCCTGCTTGAGCAGGGGGCTGGACTAGAAGACCTCCAAGGTCCCTTCTGGCTCACTTGTTCTATTCTGACCCATCTTTTAGCAAGGGAGGCTCAATAACCAGCAGCTTTTGCAGTCAGGCCGGAGCTTGTCAAATCTCAGGAGTTTTTTGTTCATTTTTCAGAAGTGACCACATTCTAGCAAAGAATATTGTATCTGTCATTATCAATTCTGCCCCCCCTCAGAGGTACAATACAGCACTACTTAACTTACGACAGTGTCACGGTCATATGCCCACTATTTTTATTTTTTGCTGGAAATCAGGGTTTTTTTCTGGTTTCCAGCAAAAATGCTCATTGTGGACAATGCGCATTTAACTTCATTTTATAACTTAACAACCACCAAAAAAACAGTTCATGAAACCAATTGTGGTCACATGATGTTCTACTTAATGACCAGCATGACTTAGGGCTGTAATACTGGACTCAACTATGGTCATAAGTTGAGGACAACCTGCAGCAGAGAGAGTACAGTGGTTTTAAGCCCATTTTAAGCCTCCTCTGCCCTGATTCACACAGCCAAATCTGCTTGCTGCCTTCCTCAATAATTTCTTTGACCCCTCTAGGAAGGAGCATCAAACCCAAATCCAGCAAAATCATAAGCTTTTTAAGGTTGACTGACCAACTTATCCAGCAGCTGTGCAGAAGAAATTTCCTCCATCCCGAGAAAAACCAACATGTTTGTAGAGGAATTCAGTGAACAGAACTGCCCACGAAAAGCTAAGGAGCTGTTTCCCCTACTGTACTACAGTTCCCATTGCTTATGGCTGGGGATGATGGGAATTGTTGAAGAAGACATCATAGAGGTCCCCCCTTTGCTCCACCCTCTTCTGAGAATGAGTCAAGTCTCACCTGAGCCCCTGACGGCTTTTTCAGGATGATGGTCCGAGGCAGGAACTGGGTTAACTCATTGTTGTAATCCGAATGGTAAATCCTCTACGGAAAAAAAAATCAAAGAATATGTCTAGAAATAGCACCCTGTGTTCCATTCTGGGAAAAGCATCAGAATTATTGGGTTTGCTGCAAAAAAAATGTCTTCATGCCCTTTACATCAAATTCAAGCAAGGCAGAAGATCGCCCAAAGGCTACCAGATACCAGTAGGGGATCTACAGCCACCCACCTCATGAGGTGGGATCCAGGTCGGAGGATTCTCATAGGGAGGGAGGAAGACCACTGGGTAATCATCATAGGGGATCCGGCTACTGCCTCCCATATCCATGCTGGCTCAGTCCAGAAACAGGAAAGCTCACCGACGGTTCCTAGCACGAGAGAGCAGAGAGATTTCCACCCACAAGTTCCCCCATAATGAATTAAGGCTTCCTTTTCCAGGCAGAGACATACAGTGGCTGTTCCTGGGGCTATTTGCACAAGAGAACAAATGCGTCTCATCCAGTTCTGCTTAGAAACCACTCCTGGGCCTTGTGCTCAAGGAGAAAACAACCTGAAATTCTGCCTTTGAGATTTACTGATTAGCTAGGTTTGCTGTTATTGAAGTGGTTACTATACACTAAGCATAGTATGTAGTAATCATGGCTTCTAAGCATGTAGAAGTAAATAGTTGAGGCTGCATTATCTTATTTTTATTGTAGCAGGTGAAAAATGTTGGAAGGGAAGACTTCCCCCCCTTTTTTCTGTTACCCCCCACGCTCCCTTCTCCTTTTTTCCTTTACTGTTCCCCCACGACCTTCGTTTTTTATTTCTATTCTATACTGTAATTTCAGACCTATATATGTATATCTCAATAAAATTACTGAATATAATTTCAATATTGTTATATAGCGTGTGTACATATATAAATTATCTTACCTACAGTATCTACATATAGCAATTTTTACCCTTCCAGCTCCAAAGGCCCAGCAACTGTCTCCCCTCATTTCCTTCCACATAAAGATTTCAATAAAATTGAATATAATTTCAATATTGTTAGTGTGTGTGTTTGTGTGTGTGTGTATATATATATATATATAGTATATAGTGTAATATATGTGTGCGTGTGTATGTATACACACTCATATACAAATACACACACACATATATATGTATATATGTATATATGTATATATATATGTATGTATGTATGTATGTATGTATGTATGTATGTATGTATGTATGTATGTATCGTATTTAGGTTTCTTCGGGTATTTTCCCACATCTTATTAGTTGTGTTATTAAGCACAACTATTAACTCGTGGGAAAATACCTGAGGAAACCTAAAATACCATAAATATAAATACCCACAAAAACATAAGAAAACGAGTGCGTGTGCGTGTGCGTGTGCGTGTGTGTGTGTGTGTGTGTGTGTATTTGTATATGAGTATACGAGTCTTCCTGAAACCGACCTGGCTCAGCGTCAAGTCTCCGTGAGTTCCGCAAGCCAACCCCGTCGCTCTCCTTCTGCGGCACTCTCCTTCTGGGCCTGCCATCCAGGGAGGGGGAATCGCCACGAACCGGGCTCGCCCTCCAGCGTCTCCCTTCAGCTCAACGCCAGGAATCGACCACCTTCCCCGTCGGCCTCAGGGCTGGTCTGAGGGAATCCGGGAGGACCCGCCTCCCTTTCCTTCCTCGAATCCAAGCAGCTTCTTCCTCGCCAGCAAAGCCAATCAGAAGAAGGAAGAGCCAATTCCCTCCTGCTATTGGGCTGCCTGTTCTTGACTGACGGTAGAGGCGGCGTTCGGATTGGCGGGAAGCGGAGCAGAGGAAGTCGCCGCCGCGGCGGACGGGATTACCATGACAACGCCTCCCAGCGGCGGCTGACGTAAAAAGCGGGCGCCGCCTTCCAAGAGTCTTTTTATTAATTTTTTAAAAAGGACCAAATTCATAAGCCTACGTGACGTAAAAAGAAATAGGCGGGGTTAAAAAGGCTGCCTTCCTATGCCAAAGAGTACTGAGTGATAGAGTGACGCCACTAAAGAGTCAGGAACATGGCGGGCGCCTTTATTCCCCTCAAGGGAACACAAAAGGCCTCTACCTTTGTGCACTGCCTATCCCCACCGAGAGAACGTACGCAACGCCACCTCCAGCCCCAACCGCCACCATTTACACGCCTTGGATGGCTTCCTTGCCTCCGTAACGGCGACGTGTCTGAGGCGTTTCCTGGCCTACGAAACCTGGAAAGCCAATCAAAAGTAGCGAAAATGTGGGAGTCGGGCCTGGAAGGGGCGTATCTCAGACATAAATGGGGCTGGCGCGCATGCGCCTCTACGAACACCGCCCCTCAGGCTTGGCGCCACGTTTAAACGCCGTGGGCGGAGGCGGAACAAACGCCGTTCAGCCACCTTAACGGTCGGCCCGTGAGACGAGCGGGGCGCTGGAACGGACGGTTCTTTCCCGTTCCCCCCCCGCCGCGCCCTCCGGAGCCGCTCCTGGAAGAATTCGGGAACCCGCCAGAGGGAAGAAGAGCCGCCCTTCCCTCAGCATCCCGTCCTTTCCCACCTTTGTGTGTGTTTTTGTGTGTGTGAAAGGGAGCGGAGGGGGGTACGCTTCGGTGTTTTTTCCCCCCCTCAAAACAGCCGTCGAGGTAGGCCTGAGCTGCCATTCCGGGGTGTGCCGTCCTGTCAAGAGGGGCTTTTTGACCCCGAGACTGGGGGTGGGGGGGGTTCGCATTTGAGCCCTTCGGAGGAAGCAACCATGGCGCGGGGGGGGGGGGGGGGGGGGGGGGGGAGGGGGGGCCCGGGGGGGGGGCCGCCGGGGGGGGGGGGGGGGGGGGGGGAGGGCGAGAACAAGGATTCCTGGATATTCCACCCTCCCCTGGCGGGGTGGGTGGCTGGGGGCTTTGGGGCTGCCTTTCCACTTCTGTATTTGAGAGGGGAAAGCTGTGGAAGCTATTATCCTTTGGGAAGACGTCACCCCTTCCCCCCCTTTTCTCCCCAAATTGAAAGGCGAGGCGGGGTGGGGGTGGGGGGGAGGGTGTGAATGGCTGCGGTATCTCAAGGCTGGAGAAGTTTATCCTGGAGAAGAAGAAAAAGAAGAAGCGGAAAGAACCGTCTTCAAGCATTGCAGCTCTTCCAGAAACGAGGAAAAAATTAGCTTGAAACGACTCGGAAGCAGGTTTGGGTTGGAGAGCAGTAAAAAAAACAAACCACAAAAAATCCTAAGAGGCACCGAAGGGCTTTCAGAAGGCCTGAACTTCCCTTCATGGGATGTCTTTAATGTTAGACCAGGGGCCCCAATTGCCCCCCCCCCCCCCCCCAGGTCGTGGCCTCACTACTGGGCCCCTAAGGTGGCCAGAACCAGGCTGCCTAAAGCTTTTTGGGAGCTGCCCCTGCAAACCCATCTCTTTCCCCCTCCCGTCTGCAAAGCTGGAAAGTTTGGGGAACCCTTTTTTGGGGGTGGGGGGGAATAAAAGCAATGTTTCTTTTGGGGTCCCACAATTAAAACATTTGGGAGATTTGGGTTGGGCTGAATGGTCCTGCTTGATAGCCAAAGCAATTCTGGGTTGGTGAGAAACTGCAGGGAAGAATAGAATTTGTGATCTTTTTTTTTGAATAGCAGCTGCAGCTTATTTAATTTTCCTTCTTGCCAATGGTGAATCTTGAATTTTTCACATCGGTCGTTTTCATCTTGAGGCTTAATATGGATTTAATTTATTCTTCTGCGTGTTACGTCTGCAATCTGCAGGTTTCTGGTTTTGATGGGAGTCTCAGCTGAGGGTTATCTTGTCTGTCAGGTTCTGGTCCATGGAGAGCTTGCCTGGAACGTGGGAGATCCATCACCATGATCTTCAGTGGGGGACATGGCCCTTAATTGGGGGAATAACTGATTTATTCATTTTAAAAGCCTATTACATTTTATTTTATTTATTTACTGGATTTACATTGTTGCCTATTCGCCCAGGGCGAATTCAGTGATAATATTGGGTTGTAGTCTCAGAATTTTAAAATTTATGTTGTACTTTCCAAATATTGACCGGAGCAGCTTAATGAAATACTCAGGAAAGTTTTTTAACTATATTGCCTTTGTACCACATCTAGAATTTATTTTTTAAAAGAATTAAACAAGTCCTGATACCAAAAACTTTCTTTTGCATAGGGTTTCTCCTTACTGCACATTTGATGGTCACCAACCTATACATGGATGCCGATGTTTGGAAATTTCTGCTTGCGGGAGGAGGAGGGAAGGCTACACCTGTTTTTATAATGTTTGTGGTTTCTTTCAGGACAGTACAAATAAAAAATGCTTGAAGAAGAAGCGATCCCGGTGAAGGTAGCATTGAGATGCCGCCCACTTGTCCCCAAGGAAATGGCGGAGGGTTGCAAGTCATGTTTGTCTTTTGTCCCTGGAGAGCCACAGGTGAGGCGAAATTCACAGGTGGGAGGTACCCTGCACTTTGACTTCTGAAATTTTAAAGCTCTTTCTTTTTTAAAAAAACAACAACAAATTTTATTGGTTTTTAAAGACAAACATAAACAAATAAAACAAAAAACATCTTTTTTGAAAGCAGCTTGATCCCGGGTTACATCTCTTCATACAGACACAAATTCAAATTCATACTCATTTTATATACCATTCCATATCTTATTACCATTCTACATTTTCTATATAGCTTCTCCCCTCTTTTAACTTTCTTAATTTTATTTTGTTTATTTCATCTCAATTCAGATAATTATACTTATATTTTTTGTCTGTCCTGTTTCCAGCTGTCTGTTATCTTTTCTCATTAAACAAAATTTCTCCTGTAATCACTGATTGGAATATGACGTCTTTATATCTTTCCCCTAAATTTATAACACTTAATATAATACATAACTTCCGTTCAGATTCTGCTTGGTACATTCTAAAGTTACATACTATATTTTAAAAAGAGAAAAAATTATAAATATATAATATAATTAGAACAACAATCCATACCAATACAAAACTATCATTAATATTAATATTCATTTAAATCTTAAACATTTTACACATTACTTTTCAGACAAGTATATTTCTATGGGAACACTTATAAACTTTCCATAATTATTTCCCCCCCACTTCACTTGTATTTTAAAACATTGTGTCATTAAAATGTTCCCATTCCTTCCTAATTCAATTATCTCTTTCTTTTGTTCACAAAAGTTTCACTGAGTTACAATAAGTATTTTATCCCACTTTGTAATCACATGTTGTTCCAATTTTCTACCATTATTTCTAATACAAATATAACAATACAATCTTATGTCCCTTTGCAGAATCAGTTTTTCAGTTAAATTTTTACCCATTATCTCTAAATAAGTCCTGTTTCTTTGCATCTTGTAGCTTCTCTTCCCTTCCTTCCTCCCTTGCTTCTCTGCCTTTTTACCCCTTTGTCTCTCCACCTCCATTTCCCTCTTCTGTGTTCCCCTTTTCTGTTGCTTTCTAACATATCCACTTTTCACCTTATTTTTCCCTTTTTTGGTTGTTTTTTTAAGTCTTGAAGTCTCCATTTTCTTTCCCCCCTTTTCCTTTTCTTTCCCAAGTAAAGTTACTTGTTCATTAAAGATGGCTTCTTCTTTGTCCCAATCTTCTTATTGCACAGTCTTTTCTTGTAGTTTCTCGTAGGTACAGATCACCATTTCTAAGAATTGAAAAGCAGAGTCAAGAGAGCCCTTCCCTTCTTGTTCCTCCTCTTTGTATTTTTTAAATTCCATTTTCAGTTCATCCACAAGTAATGCCATTGTAAAAATTTTTTTCCAAACAACCATCTAAGTGTTTTTAGTCATCCAAATATAATTTCCAAAAGTCCCAAAGTCACCAAGCAATCCAAATACGCACAAGCTGTTTCTTTTAACACTTTCTTCCTTTTTCACTTTCTCTTCCTGGGGTTACTGTTTAGTTACAAAGTTCCAGTTAAAATGTATCTTTTAGAAGTCTTGTTAGGATTTAATCAAATTCTTTTAAGTTCAGGCAGTCTTCTTCCAAATCCTACTCTTATTCTTTTCCTCTCCCTTCCCACTTACAGCAAAAAAAAATAAAGATTTTTTAGTGTTCAGAAATCCTTATTATCCTCTTGACATTTAATTATCCAGTTTAATTACCTATTGATGCCAAAGCGGGATTTTCCGATTTCTCATTCATCTCTGTTCACTGTCAACGTAAGGAAGGAGAGTGAAAAAAAAACTTTCCCTTTTCACTTTCATTCGCTGCTTCCGAACCTTCTTTGGGAGCGATGTATCTTTTTTAAAAATTTAAATTACAGGATACCTTGGTTGTTGCTTCTTATCCCGGTCAGCCAAAACTTTCACTTAACTTCCTCCTGCACTTTCTTTTCCGGATGAGCGCTTCTTTGAGGCGGCCATTTCTGACTGCCGCCTTCGGGAAAGGGAGTTTAGCCAGCTGGGGAGGAAAGATGCGGCTTCCCTCGACCCTGCTGGGATCTCCCCCCTCTTTGCCACCTCTACAGGGTGGCTTAGCCCCGAAGCCAAGTGGCTCGGGACGTTCCAGCGGTGAGCCCAGGCAGAAACCACGCACGATCGCGGATTCCTGTCTGCCGCTGAAGCCCTGCAAACCGGAAATCCAAATTTTATAGCTCTTTCTTCTGGGAATGTCTTGCTATAGGAAGCCCTTGACTTACAAGCATTTATTTAGTGACTCTTCAAAGTTTACAATGTCAGTGAATGGC